TCTCGGTCCCGTTCGTCGACCTCGATTTGCCAGTAGCCGCTCTTCAGGTCCATCGATGAAAAGTATCGAGAGTGGCCCAGCCGGTCTAGAGTGTCGTCGATGCGGGGGAGTAAGTAGACGTCTTTCTTCGTAACCGTGTTTAGCTGCCGGTAGTCCACGCAGAACCGAAGAGTTCCGTCCTTCTTCTTAACCAGCACGACTGGAGAGGCCCATGGACTGCTTGAAGGTTGGATTATGTCGTCATTCAGCATCTCTTGAACTTGCTGATGGATCACCTCCCTTTCCTTAGCGGAGACTCTGTACGGCGATCGATGCACAGGGCGCGCGTCGTCCTCAGTAACAATGCGGTGCTTGGCAACCGCGGTCTGGCGCACCTTCGACGACGTCGCAAAGCAGTCGCGGTATTCGGCGAGGAGGTTAACCAGCTGACGCCGTTCAGGGTCCGGAAGCTTAGGGTCAATGTCGAGCTGCGCTGGCGACGTACTGTCTTGCTGGGGCGGCGATGATTCGTCAGTGATCGCAGTGATTTCGGCGGGGTTTCGGAGTTTCTCGACGTGGCCCACGGCTGCACCTTTCGTGAGGTGTTGCGTTTCGTTTCGGAAGTTCGTCACGAGGGCCACAGTCCGCCCATCCTGAAGTTCAGCTACTCCCCTTGCGACGCCTATGCCTCTTCCCAAGAGCAATTGGAGGCTTCCCTCGAGAAGAACTTCGCCACAGGAAGCTTCATCGATCCCGACAAGTACGAAAACACTCGACCGCGGTGGTAGGTTTACGTGGTTTGCGAGGACTCGGACCGTGGGTGACGTCGCTTCGGGTTCCTCCGCTGGTGGAGCAGGTTTTCGTAGCGTCAGCCGGTTTGTTCCGAGGTCGATGACGGCGCCATACTCGCAGAGAAAGTCCATTCCGAGGATAACGTCCCTCGAACAGTCTTGCAGAACGACGAACTTGACAGGGCACGTTTCACCGTGGATCTCGACGCGAGCAGTGCATCTCCCGACTGGTGTGATGAGATGACCTCCGGCGGTTCGTATTTGGGGTCCTTCCCACGGCGTCATGACTTTTCGAAGGCGGCGGGAGAGCCTCCCACTCAAGACTGAGTAGTCTGCTCCGGTGTCCACGAGTGCCGATGCGTCGTGACCGTCGATGACGACGTTTAGGTTGTTGGACACCGTTGCAGGGGCGTCGTAGCGATGCGTGGCGTCGGGAGAGTGGGAGCGCTGCGGCGTTCTTGGAGGCTCTTTACGTCGGTCGTCTTCGGCAACTCCACCTCCAGGGGTTGCCGCGCCTAGTTTCCCCGGCGAGGAGCGAGGGGCGACAGGCTTTCACGTCGGGGTCGGTGCATCGGCGAAGCTGGACGACGTGGCGATGGCGACCGGAACTCTCGGCGGGACGCAGGCTCGGGGGACTGAGGTCGTCGCAGGTACTCGTCGATCTCGATAGGGCGTTCACCATGACGGGGGCGCGGGTCGTTCGGGTGGAACCCGCGTAGCCCGAGTCGTCGGTATGGGCATCGGCGGTAGGTGTGGTCCGCTTCCCCGCAATGAAAGCACAGAGGGCGTCGGTCGGGCGTTCGCCACACGTCGGTCTTGCGGGGTGCGCGAGGCTCCGGGCAGGCGTACTGGACCTGGTCGTTGTGGGGTCGGTCTTGCTGCGGCGCAGGAGACTGACGTCGGGGCGGCGTGACATAGGTGCGACGAGGAGGCGGTGGCCGTCGGGCCACTGCGGCGTAACTCAACGTCGGTGGTTCCGGAGCGGTGCTGACGACAACCTCAGGCTGCAGCGCTTGCTGGACTTCTTCCCTGACAATCTCGGCGATTGAGGGCGAGGCTGGGCTTGCGGCGGCAGGTAGAAGTTTCTTGATCTCTTCCCGGACGACGTCTCGGATCATCTCGCGGATGTCCGCGGTGTTGCAGCCGGAAGGCGAAAAGGAACCGACGCCGGGAACTCGGTGATAGTGGGTGGCTCGTGCTAGAAGGGCACGTTCGATGTTGGTGGCCTCCGTCATGAAGCCTTCGACGGTGGTAGGCGGGCTCCGCACAAGACCACCGAAAATGCTTTCCTTGACGCCACGCATCAAGACTCTGAGCTTCTTTGCTTCGGATGCTTCGGGATCGGCGCGGTTGCTCAGTCGCAGGACATCTTCCACGAAGCTAACGATGCTCTCGTTAGGGCCTTGAATCCTCGCTTGAAGAAGCTCTTCCGCGCGTTCTCTTCGGTGTTCGCTCATGAACGTTCTTCGCAACTCAGCCTTGAGTTGCTCCCAGGAAGTGATCGAAGCTTCGTGGTTCTCGAACCAGTTCCGGGCGGTGGCTTCCAAGGCGAAGTAAGCGTTTTGCAGACACTGTTCCGGTGTCCATCCGTTATGACGGGCCACTCGTTCGTACTGTTGTACCCAGTCGTCGATGTCTTCGTGGCTTTCGCCGTGGAATGGAGCCGGTGTCCGAGGAGCGACGGGTAGGTAGACGACGGCAGGAGCGGTGGGGCCTGCGACTGGTTGTCCATCGTCGTCTTCTTCGGCTTGGGTTTGTCCAGCAGCAAACCGTACTCCGGATCCTCTCCCTTGGTGCGGCGGCTGGTCCGAGTTTCAGGTTCCGCGCTGAGTGGTCTTCTCAGCGAGCTTGGAGTCGGGCTTGCACTGCGGGTCTTGGGAGGGGAACGCTGCAAGGGCATGCGGTGCCCCGCACCTCCACCAAATGTCACGGGTGGTGACCAAACAAAAAACAGGAAATAAACAGAAAGAAATAAACGTTTAATGTGGCGAACTTGTGCCAAAAAATAAAGAAGGAAACAGAAGAAAGCAGAGCGTCGCGGGCGTCGAAGTCGGCGTGTCAGCAGAATCGAGCGCTGGGGCGAGACTGCCTCGACAAGGTCGCGGGCGGCCTCTTATCTAGAGTGCGCCGCTATCTCGAAGATTCGGCGAAAGCGGTTCGAGCGTCGCGTGATCGGGGCGAGAATGAACACGCACTTTCTAGAAAAGAAAAGCAGGGATAAATGATAGAAGTTACGTGCGGTACACGAATAAACGGGAACTTTCTGGAGGACCGTGACCGAGCGTTGCTTTCTCAGCCTTGCGCGCGGCAATATTACAGCAGAAAGTTTTTTTTTTAATGACTGTTAACGATTGCGTTGTGTAGAGTCGCAGCAGAACACGTGTTTTGATACCAATAAAAGACACATTTAAAACAAAACATTTAAACTGTCACACTTGCGGTTGAGATGTTCAAGTTAAACTGACACGACTAGGCTGTTAGAGCCAGTTGATATGATTATACAGCAACGTGTTCCTATGGTTCCTTTCGCCATAAGTTGGAACTCAGGGAAAGGCTCGAACACACGTAAACACCGACAGACATCTCAAAAGCGAAGGTCATCGTGTATTCACCGCGCTAAATTTGTTCAGCAGATGATAGAACACCTAGAGAAATCTGATGAGCACGATGGCGTTCCGTTCTGCCGCTTTTCTTATTTATCTAACGGGTAGCATCCTCGCGGGAGAGGGGAGAGGAGAAAAACAGGTGATGCCCGAAAGAGCGTAGGCCACACTTAGTACAACAACGCAACAGAAGTAAAGCTATTCGTAACGCCAGCAAAATAAACGGCACCATGGGGGGAAAAAAAAGAAAAAATCACTGAATTGATCGAAACAGGTTCTTTCGCCAAATCTGCTCGTCCCTTGTGGCTTTCTTGATTACATGTTTTCGGCGGCCGGCGCGATGGAAGAGCTGTCTCGGTAACTATGTCATTACTGTCTTACCAGTTTGTTGCCCAGGTCGCTTTAAACACAGCCTATACGCTGCCGCGGGGACCAGACATTGTTCGTTTATCAACGTTCATCTGTACCTCAGTCCTTCCATCGCTTCCCCGAAGAGGGTCGAGCCTCTGGAAACTTGTTTACGGCAATACACCGCGGCACGTTTGATAGGTTGTGAATAAAAACCGCGACCAACAATTTTGAGCCCAATGCTTTCCTGCTGGAACCCGAGGGTAGTGCGTTGTGGTGGCACATGGTACGGCACGACCGGTCTGAGACCGCAATATTTGCCCGATAGTGGCAAACCCTTTAGTTCGCTGAAGTCGTGAGTTGCAAAGACAATCAAATATATAATAAAATATAAAAAATTAGCAAAATGGCAAGGAAGAATGTTATTTATCTAAAAGTCATTCAATTGTGACTCATCAAAAATATACAATCGAAGCAAATTTGAACATTCTAAGTTGACCTAAACATCTAGACACAAAATAACATATGCTCTGCAGTGCTTTGTATCTTTTCGTATACAAGTGGTGCAACGTAATATTAACTAAACAAACCACTCATGACGCAACTGTGTGAACAATGTTGTCCATTTAATGCACGGCAAAAAAAAAAAAGAAGAAAGCACAATGAAACGCAGTTGGTGCCATTCGTGCCATCGGCCCGCAGTGTTGGCTACGCCGGGATCTAAGATGAAACGGAGCATAGTGTCTGAACGTTCTTCCTCGCGTTTGTAATCACAAAGCACAAGTCAGTCCTCTTCCGCATACGCTCCTTGTTCGAACAAGCTACCACGACGCTGCTTATGACGTAGCAGCCTTATCCTGTTCCGCTCGAAATTCTGGGCGCAAACACCGACGGCGACGTAGCGACGCGCGAATTCTACTCCTACCAGGGAGAAAAAAAAAGAAAAAAAGGAAGAACGTAATAACGTTCGGGAAATATGCTTCGCCGCCGCCGAGAGTGTCGTTCGCTTTGCCCCAAAGGCAAGCAACCACAGCTGCCCAGGCATAAACAGCGAGAACGGCAGCCAAGCAGTTGTCGGGAAAAGGGCGAGTGAGGTTTCCGTTCAAGCATTCGCAGCTCGCGTCCGCGCGCCACGGCCGCCGTGGCAGCTCGCCTCGAAGCGTGCCCCAGCATTGACGGTGCCCCCTTCTCTCCGCACAGGTTTTGCCCTTGCCATGCCGGGAATCCCTACGTTATTTTGACTGTCCATCAGATCTCGTCGCCTCAACCAGTCAGGGAAGTCCTGGAGTTGCGGACGTCGTCCACCAACGTCACAGACTGCGGTGAGGTTCGTGCAGGTGTCTGTAGAGCAAACGGTCTAAAACGCGTCTCGTAGTGTCTTTTGTATATGTGAACCGCTCTTCCCCTTCTCACACACTTATTTCCTTTCGCTTTCATATTAAGTTGCCTGCTGGATACAGAAGCGGTGATAAACCATATTGTAGAACATAATCGCCCTTCTCTCTTTAGAATAATCATCAATATCCAGCCAGCGCATGAGGTGCTTTTCTGTGTCACACCACGCTGCTACGAGGATAATACCCACAAAAACGATCGCCGGCTTCGCGCCGGCCCCTACAATCGCTGATCATGGGACAGAGCTTGAAGAAATTGCTCGGAGGCGATAAGGAGCCATGTGTGTCCTACTTCCGTCGGAAAAAGCTACTCTGCGAATTCAACACTTTCTACGGTAAACACTCCGTCTTTTTTGCTTGATTGTTGAGGTGGTTGGTTCTTTCTTATGCGTGTTGCTCATGACCAAATGTGTATACGCCTCTTCAATTTTCTTAGTGTTTGCTTTCGCTTAAGAGATTCCGGATGCAGAAGTCTATTACATCGATTAGGGTTTTATCGTTTTCCTTCAATACACTTCTGGTATTTCTAGAAGAGATGTTCTCTAGTTGAACATGCAAAGATGTTACATTTAATCTCTGAGACTTCAGTATCACATTTGAACGCAACGCATATAAGATCTTATTCCTTTAGTACTCCTTATTGTTTTTCTCTTTTCTTCTTTTGTTATGTTGTGTTCAGCATCTGCATATTTACTTGGGGCTGCTTCCGAGCTTGTTTGTTCAATTTACCACGCATATTTGAGAGCTAAGATCCGGAAACGCCTGATAAAAAGAAGCTTTGTTCGCGCTCGGCTACACAGGTGTTAAACAAATATACGCAATGAAAGATAAAACCTCCGTCCGTATGCATATTGACTTATATTTATCAAAGTCACAACCATAATGTAAAAACGTGCCTGCTAAATGCTGTTTAGACTGCACCATTAAAAAGTCTGTGCAGAAGTTTTTTTTTTTTTATGAAGGTGGTAATGGTTGCTATCTGTTGTAAAACGGCAAATGGTTCGAACACTTCACGTTTTGCCGTGTCTCCGGTGTGTAGGTTTTTTTGTCTAAGAATATTTTGTAACCTTCTTTAAAAAATTCCAATTTTTGTTTTTGAACAAGTCTAGAAATCTTTGAAAGGGGTTATACCTTATTATGGCCCACGCAATGGAGTGGGCCTTAATCTGCTATGAGCACTTTTCCACGTTTACTGTTAAGTGTCTGCACTGAACAGATACTTCTAGAGCCCGAAACTATACCACGCATAGATGTATTTCATAAGAAAGCTAGATTGTAATGAAGCCTGTTGGTTATAAATGAGATGCAAAGAATGAAAGTCACGATTTGCTGATAATTCTTTCGCGCTGCATGAATTTACTGGACTAAATAGTGGTAGACTGTTTGATTATCATCAGCCTTTAAATGCACCAATGAAGCACGCTCGGGTAGAATAATTTTTGCTCGTTTTTTACGGAGTTTTTTACTCCCAAACCTTTGTTATTCTCTTCCTGTTTTCAAGGGGAGGCTTCACTTAGACGTTTTGTTTAAATATAATTTTATGTTGATGGTGTTGTGTTTGTAAACTTGGGAAAACAACAACAACAACAACATTACTCTCGAAGAAGGGAAAGGGAACCTTGAACAACTGCCGCGAGGCGATCTTTAGTGACGAGTGTTTTGTCCTTCGACCTTATCTTTGCTACTGGGAGCTAAGTTTTGGTTTTCGAAGGTGCTAACATTGTGTAGCAACACCATCCTTTCGAAATCCGACAGCCGAGAAGACAAGAAGAGACTTCTGTCCTTTGTGGTTATTGGAGCAGAAAAACGGGGCAGTTTTTGATAACGTAACCGAAAATTGCAACATTCTTTTTGAAACGTGCAACATCAGATGACCTGCCGGAGCCCACGTTTCAACCACAAAGAGAGCTACGAAATTGTTTTTGTTATTTCAGGTGGTGCTTTATTTTTTTTTTCAAACTGTGCGATTTTCGCATTTAAAAAAAAATGATGCGCAGATTGCGTTTTTGCAAAACTGCACCTTGCTAATTTATCAGACATCACATGTCTTTTGTCACGCCAAAGAAACAGACGCTTTGTCTTCTGTGTTCAATATCTTAGGCTACTTTATGAGTATAAAATAAATGTTACAAAAAAAGGTGAGTGAGAATGCCGTGTTTTTGCCCGCAATCATAAATGGCGGTACTGCAGCGCACGCGCATCACTGAGTGATTATCTTCTACCGGTAGAACAGCTATTAGTGTTTACCGTTTTGACATATCGCTAATAACTACGCCGTTTGGGGGCCGGTTTCGAAAATTCAGAAATCAATCGATGTACCTATTTGAATAAGATTGTCGAACTATGAACTCGTAAAAAAAGCCCTAAAAATCGTTTTTAAACGAATGTATTTTTTGCCAAACGATTTTATAGTGAGGTTCGCGCTTCGGGAGCAGAACCCAGGGCTACACAGTGAACAACCGACAGCGTTAGCGTCACACTTCTAGAAGTTAGCGACAACACCAGTGAAAATGAGCCGGCTCTACCAAGTTGATTGACTAGAAGTAAGTCTGCTTTGATAGAAGTAAATCGGAAGTAAATCACCCCAAGGGTATAAAAGTATACCCCGCCCCCCCAAAGAAAATAAAATTAAGAGTATAATTCCGAAATAGTAGATTGTTTACTTTCCGACGCTAAAACCGTCTCAACAGTCAAGGTATTTTCACATAACACTTGCCGGAAGTACTTAAGCAATCGTGTTTTGTTTTTTTCTAGCGTTACCTTTCATCCTCTCGAAAACCGCCGTGTTTGCATCGCACCTGTTGGCCAGTTTTACGCTAGCGTTAATTATTAATATATATATACGTGAGGCAGAGTAGCTTGAGAACAATGGGCCGGGAAAATGTAATAAGTCAGAGATCCGTACTTGCGGAGTTGCTATGCTAGAAGTTTATTGCACGTATTTCGACAGTTTCGCCGAGAGGCTCGGCTTCGTCAGGAGGACAAAGCCGAGCCTCTAGGAGAAACTGTCGAAATACATGCAATAAACTCCTAGCATAGCAACTCCGCAAGTACGGATCTCTGACTTATTATATACAGGGTGTCACAAATGAAAATTTACACGCTCTTTTTTACCGCAAAAATAAACTAGGCGTCGCCGAACGCTCATTCTCCGCCCAAAGGTAGAGCTAGAGGTCACAATCAGATGCCAAAGTTTCAGCCCGATCCGATAACTTAATCAAAAGTTATAAGTGATTTTCTGAAATTTTCAATGGGAAAATGGCGGCCGACGGCGTTTTCAAACACATGGGGCTCTATGGCACCAGAAACCGAAAACGGGCGAAAACGGGCTGCATTTTCCCATTGAAATTTTCAGAAAATCACTCATAACTTTTGATTGAGTTATCGGATCGGGCTGAAACTTTGGCATCTGGTTGTGACCTCTAGCTCTTCCTTTGGGCGGAGACTGAGCGTTCGGCGATGCCTAGTTTATTTTTGCGGTGAAAAAGAGCGTGTAAATTTTCTTTTGTGACACCCTGTATATATATATATATATATATATATATATATATATATATATATTAACATTTGAATCACTAGTACAGTTAGTGAAGAAATCGCACGAACCGTTCAACCGAATTCGTTAACCTCTGAATTACTTTTATTGTCACTTTGAAATACAACATGCAAGTCGGTTATCAAAAAAAAAAAAAAAACGATTGAGATTTAATGTGAATAAATTAAGCCGTATTACCAGATTGAAAAAAAAATCCTCAGCATAATTTTGGACCTGATGACTCTGCTACGAATACCATGGTTAATAATTTGCTTTTCAATTATTTGATAAGCGGTTTTTGTCTATTTGTGTGCAAACAATGTGACAACTTATTTTTGTGTAAATTTATTCCCGGAAGGCATTGCTGCTCAGTACAGGTTAGTGTAACTAATTTATTTTGCCACGCGACATATTTGTGGAATAAATTAGCATATAACTCAGTTGATAACCTTTCACTCTGGCACGATTGAAACCGTTCATTTATCCTGTCAACTATGTTCTCTTTAAAATTATCTTCTTTATTAACACTTCTGTTTTCTCGTCCTATATCCTCTCGCATTTATTTAATGCTCACATGATCACTCCCAACTTATAAATTGTTCACTGTCTTGATTTGTGAGAAAATAACGTGTATAATTGGCCGAACCTCTCCTAGGTATCACTGACTTAAACCGACCACAAAAATGCATGTTTGTAACCAAGCCGCCTGAAATGCAGCTTTTTTATCTATGTGTGTTTGTAAAGAGGGGGTGTGTTGACTTCTCAGTCGCGTAGAGCGTCTGATTCTAAAATAAAATCATACTACGTTTCACACTATGTCAAAACGGAGCTTCCACTTTGATAGATTTCGGGTCATTCAAGAAACTACAAAAGTCAAATTTCTGTTTTTTACGCTGTCGTTGGTTAAACCACTGAACCCCAGCGAATGGACCTTGAACTTGAGCTTTTGGTGTATGTGCTCATATTGGGATGCATTCTGACTTTCACTCTGGTCTGACGTATGGTAAAAAGGAGTATGAATGCGAGCGCATCCTCACCTTCCGCATATCAGAATAAACCCAATTTCTGAACTCTACGGGGTCTCAGAACATGTTAGGGCTACAATAAAGTTTTCAGACCAAAAAGGTTTCAGTTCGGACATCGAGAGTGGGTCGATTTAAGCTTGCAGGGTGTCTCGCTTTACCGTCTAAACAACGTGGACCGGATTGAGTACGAGTTTTACTGGTACATATACGTGCCACTGGAACTATTTGAGCTGAAAAAAGCAAATACATTTCTTAGTTCTGCGCTCTTTCCTTTTTGGTGTAAGTAACGCGTATGACGTCACTGATTATGAAACATAAGACAGAATACAGTGTCCCCGCACTTGCGTTAGAATCTTCTTCTTCTACTTTTACTTAGGCACAAAGGTACAAAGGTGCAATAGCACAGCATACTCAAGTACAGAAGAGTAGACAGGACAACCACTCTCTTGGACTGGTTTCTTCACTCTTGTTCTTGTGCTTTTTGCACTATATTTTTATACCTAAACGTGCATTTTAGTACATATACGGGCCACTGTAATCAGTAGCTCCAAAAGGGGAGCGTAACGGCGTTCGACGTTTTTCCGTGCGTGTGCTGTCACCAATCGGGAGAAGTGACTTCACCCTGATCTTTTGCTTTTAACTTGTGCGTCTGTGTTCTACTCTTTACTGTGCTCTGCCTAATCATTAAACGAAATAGTCGCACCGGCTGCAATCGCGGGTAGTCGGGATATCAAGGATGATGTCACATACGAGGGAAAGCAAATGTGGCTGTTGT